GCAAATAAGAGGTTAAAAACAGATTGATTAATCTCTGATAAAGCATTCCTGTTCATTTTTGTTACATTGTTGTTGAATTTTGATGTTACGTGTAGTAATGTCTTTATTTGTGTTCAGGTTTGACTGTAGTAAAATGAATGCAAAAACTGACATTTCAAATCAACATAAAAAACAAAATCTAAACCTTTGCAAAAAAGCTGTCTTTGAGAATGTCTAAATATAAATCCCTTTATAAACAGTAGATCTATATAGGAATCTAGTGGCTAAACCATGGAATTGCAGAAGTCTTTCTTTTTTTACTCCCACCAGATGGCACTAATGTGCCTTCAAAAATTAGATTTTAAAAGCGTTGTATCTATTTAAACATAAAACAGGCTACTGTCATAATTGGAAACTAATAGAAATATATTAGATTTTTTTTTCAATGGGAAAAATGATCATAATTATTGCATAAATATTCATTTGTATCATGAAATTCTCTCAAAATACAAAATAAAAAATGTTATTGAACTAAAATATATTACATTGATTTTACCGAAAAAACAAAATTCAGGTGTCTGGTCAGTTTTGACCGAGAATAACACAAGTGTGAGCCCCAGAGGGTTAATAATTAAACACAAGCACAAATGGTCTGATATTTGCTCGGTCAGTTCAATTGAATCCATGTTGTGTGAACATGTTTTATATTGGTTATGATGCTAAAGATCAAGCTGTATCTTAATTCATAGCCTATATGTGAAGAGCAGAAACACTTGACTCTGTCTTATCACTGAGACACAGTCACGCTATTGTACATGCTCCATTCATTCTCAACAAATCCTTTGTAATCATACACGTCCGGCTATATGTGGTTTTCATCAAGGAATTAATGGATTTTCAAAACCTGTCTTAAGCCACACAGATAAGGAGGATACAAATAAACAGCGTCTGTCTGCTGACTGAGAGTCGTTTGCTTTACTTGCTCCAGATTCTGCTTGATTGGGACTGATGGGCTTTTCTGTCTCTCACAAATGATGAACATGCATTTAATTCCAACATGTGTTATTAATTACAATTCTCAGTCACGGCCATTGAGTTTTCTGACGCGCTGCTGAGACGCGCGTCGAACGGAATCACACACCGTCGCGTCAGAAGTGCGTCTTCCGCAGAAGCGGGGCGTCACGGCGGTATTTTGGACCAATCAGATCTCGCTGTGGGCGGGACTAAGCGGAGCGTCGCGTCACAAATAGAAACAACGCGTCCGTCACACGCTCCTGATCGCGTGTTTATCCGTCGACGCCGCAGAACACCAACATAACGCTATTCTTCAGTGTTTCACAAGTCTCAGTCAGAATGACAAATATTCAAGAAACAGCTAAAAACACATCCCTTCCATCTGTATGTGACCCTCTAATTCTAGCTCTCTCTATTCGTTTTCTAACTTTTCTTTAAAAAGACACTAGCTTTCTCTATTCTATCTACTTGTTTTTGTTATATGTATGTGTGTGTGTGTGTGTGTGTGTGTGTGAGTGTGTGAGAGTGTGTGAGAGTGTGTGAGTGTGTGTGTGTGTGTGCGAGTGTGTGTGTGAGTGTGTGAGAGTGTGTGAGAGTGTGTGAGTGTGTGTGTGTGTGTGCGAGTGTGTGTGTGAGTGTGTGAGAGTGTGTGAGAGTGTGTGAGTGTGTGTGTGTGTGTGCGAGTGTGTGTGTGAGTGTGTGAGAGTGTGTGAGAGTGTGTGAGTGTGTGTGTGTGTGTGCGAGTGTGTGTGTGAGTGTGTGAGAGTGTGTGAGAGTGTGTGAGTGTGTGTGTGTGTGTGCGAGTGTGTGTGTGAGTGTGTGAGAGTGTGTGAGAGTGTGTGAGTGTGTGTGTGTGTGTGCGAGTGTGTGTGTGAGTGTGTGAGAGTGTGTGAGAGTGTGTGAGTGTGTGTGTGTGTGTGCGAGTGTGTGTGTGAGTGTGTGAGAGTGTGTGAGAGTGTGTGAGTGTGTGTGTGTGTGTGCGAGTGTGTGTGTGAGTGTGTGAGAGTGTGTGAGAGTGTGTGAGTGTGTGTGTGTGTGTGTGTGTGTGTGTGTGTGTGTAGCCTATATATACATACACATAAACCTCTCTACGTGTACTGTGTTGGGATAATGTAGCACTTGCATATTATTTCTCTTTTGTTGGTTTTGATTGCTTCTATTGTCAGCATTTGTAAGTCGCTTTGGATAAAAGCATCTGCTAAATGAACGAAGGTAAATGTAAAAAGTGAAATAATTACAGAAAGAGTTATGTATTAGTATCTCACACACAAGATCTGTGTAATAAATCACATACGTGATCTCTTTCCAGCTACTCAAGAAATCAAATCAAAAACTCTGCAGCTGTTCTCTTGCTGCTTATTTCACTTCTCACTTCTCAGCTTCTCAGCACTGGTGCTGTTCCTCTTGAATTAAAGCCTGCAGCTGTCACACCAGTCTTACAGAAACCCGGCCTTGAGCTGTCTGATATGGCCAGTTACAGACCCTTCCGCTTCTTTCGAAGCTATTTGAAAACGTTGTTGCTGCTCAACTTCAGTCGTATTTGTCATCTCATAACCTCTATGGATGTTTGCACTCTCCACAGCACTGAGACAGCACTTCTGAAGGTTGTCAGAGACCTCCGTATGGCCACTGACTCCGGCTCCATTAGCATTAGATCTTTCCTCTGCTTTTGACGCATCTCTCACAGTATTCTCATCTCACGACTGTCTGCTCTTGGTATTTCTGGAACTGCCCTATCTTGGTTCGTTTCTTACCTGTCTGTCCGTCAGCATTACATCACAGTCCGCCTCTACTGCCCCTGGCTCTCACGGTGTTCCTCAGGGCTCTGTCCTCGGGCCTGTCCGCCTCTACTGCCCCTGGCTCTCACGGTGTTCCTCAGGGCTCTGTCCTCGGGCCTTTACTCTTCATCATCTACATGCTTTCTTTAGGTAACATTATCCTTCATCATGGCTTCAACTTCCATTTCTATGCATGTGAAACCCAGCTCAATATCAGTTCTCAACACAACTGATCTCCCTTTCCAACCAACCCCATATCGGCTTGTATTAATGATATAACTGCTTGGATGACCAGTAACTTTCTCAAACTCAACACTGATAAACAGGTCTACTTCTTGATGGTTCACCAAAAAACGTAGATCACTCTACATTGCTGGGATCTTGGTTCGACCTTCCACTACCATTAAAAACCTGGGTATACTCTTTGACTCCTCTCTCTCCTTCCTACCTCACATTTCTTCTCTACCAATCGGTTGCGATGCGTGAGTCGCGCGTTACTGACGCGACCGTGCCGTTCCGGAAATACGATCTGAACAACGCGTCTCCTCCGCTGCTCGGTGAACTCAATGGCTGAGGCGGAGGAACTCATCCAGAGCGTCTGCGCTTACCCGTTGCTTTATAACGCGTCGCTGCTCGATTATCGCAGCGCGGAGCGGCGCGTGAAAGCGTGGCGCGAGGTCGCCGCGTCCATCGGTCTCTCCGGTCAGTGCGTCAACATTACGCGCTACGCTGCGATATTATATCCTCAGTTTACAGTGCTAGTGTAGAATGCTTCTTGCATATTTATAAGTGCATGCATAGTAAATATTAGCATATGCACTCTTAAAAATGAAGGTGGCTTTCATAGTGATGCCAAAGAAGGACCGGTTTTGGTGAACTTTTCAGTGATCAGTTCCTAAAATCATCTTTTCTTAGTGTGAAGAACATTTTAATCATCTAAAGAATCTTTTTTTCCATTTTAAAAACTCTTTTGTGCAATGGAAAGACTCCATGGATGTTAAAGGTTCATGATTTTCACTCAGAAGTGGTTGAATTTCACAAATAATGTGTCAAGTAATAGTAACATTGAAAATGTAACATTTTAAAACTGGAATGGTATGTTCTTGTAAAAGGTAGGCTACTCCAATAATCTTTTTTTCTTTACGGTGTAATTGTTTTTTGTTGTTGTTTTGAGTATTTGTAGATAATTGTTTGGAGAATGAACAGCAGTATAATTGTATAATGTAATTTGTTTCCGTGCAGTGGTGGAATGCAAGCTGAGGAGGGAAGAAGGCAGCCGGCGCTTGCATTACAGAGAAACCCTGTCGTTCCTGGACGCTCGCGTCAGAGAGAAGAAGCGTCTCGGTGACGCCGAGGCCCCGGAGCAGCTGGAGTCTCCCGAGGAGCAGATACACATGAGAACGCCATCGGCCTCTGCCAGCAACCTCAAAGCCTTCGACGAGGACGAGCTGTTTCTCTTGAGTTACGTCCCTGCCCTCAAAAGACTGACGCCGCAGAAAAGAGCCGCCGTCAAGATGCAGATCCAGCAGATCATGTTTGACGCAGAGTTTAAAGAGCAGTGAACAGTGATGGAAGCCTGGAGACTCTGTCCTCTCAAACATTGTTTACATGCTTTATAATTAAATCATATAAGGGATGCTGTATTTCTGTATATATTTCATTGCAACAACTTCCAAAGTGGGAGTTTTCTATGTGTTGTATATTTTGCCTTCACTGTTATCTGAATGTTTAAAGCTCACTTCAGATAAATGCTGTTCTTCTGAACTTTCTATTCATCAAAGAAACCTGAAAAAATTATACTCCGCTGTGTTCAACATTGATAATAATCAGAAATGTTTCTCGAGCAGCAGATCAGCATATTATACTGATTTCTGAAGATCATGTGACACTGAAGACTGGAGGAATGATGCTGAAAATACAGCTGCGCATCACAGAAATACATTACAGTTTAACAGATATTCACACAGAAAACAGTTGTTTTACTTTCTAATATTTCACTGTTTTACTGTATTTCTTTAAGTGCATTTCTAAAAAATATATTTTCAGCATTAAATGTCTGGTGCAACCTGCCTCTTAATGCATTAATTTCTTCATAAATCTGGGGTATTTTCATAAGAAGCTCAGATGTGCTCTACTTTCATAAAACACAGGAACTCAAGAAACAAGCATTGTACAGTCTTGCACAAAAGAAAGAAATTGTGTGACGGCATAAAGTAAACAAAAACAACGTTCAAAAACACGTTTATAATTAGATTTAATCATCACGTGGACAGTCAACATGTGCTTATGCCTCTCACGCAACAAATAATATTTCTTTCCCCAATCATTTTCCAAATTCTAAAAAGTTTACATTATAGATATTGACCTTTTAAATTAATTTGCTTTTTTAAGCCTCTATTTTAAAAAAACAACAACTTTATTTTGATTATTAAAAGAACAGATGCTCTACTTCAGCCAAAGTTATAAAATATTAAAATAAGCTCAAATTAAACGCTGATTACTGTTAGGAAGAACATTCGTATTATGTTTTTACTAGCTTTACTACAGCGAGTGGCTTCATTTGGCATCAATAATAGAGAAATAAGACTCTGGCATTTATTTAAAATCATTTCTGGGAAGAAACCGAACATTATGCATGTCACAGGATCACTCACAACGCAAGCGCTGCATCTCTTTCACAGAAAAAGAGCTGTTTGCATCCTGCACTACTGTAGGGTTAGTTAGCCGGTAGTCCTGCGACACGATCACACAGTTCTTCAGCGTTTAAGCAATCAGCAGCCAGAACATGATGAGGAGCGCCACGAACAGAAAGAGGCGAGACAGAAACTGCTCATCCGCGTGCTGAGGGGTTCCTGGAGCTGCTGCCGGGACACAAACACAGAGAAAACAGGTTCAAATCATCAACACTGCATCACTCCTTTACGGTTCACAGCTCGAGTCAATTACTCCACAGCTGATGAAAACATCACAAGCACTCCAGGCCATCAGTTCAGACAAAAGCTGAAACAAATCCAGCATTAAGATGTTTTTAACTAAAATACATAGTTCATAATCCATAACAACGCTTCCTCCAGTGAAAAAAGTGCATCTGCTGTTGTCTCTCACATCAAAATCCAGCTGTTTATTCTGCATTGTTATACATAGGAACACCCTCGCAACCACCCCAAGTGCCCTAGCAACCACATAACACCCTAGTAACCCCCCTGGGTACCCTAGCAACCATCCTGGGTTCCCTAGCAACCACATAACACCCTAGTAACCACCCTGATTACCCTAGCAACCACCCTGGGTACCCTAGCAACCATCCTGGGTTCCCTAGCAACCACATAACACCCTAGTAACCACCCTGGGTACCCTAGCAACCATCCTGGGTTCCCTAGCAACCACATAACACCCTAGTAACCACCCTGATTACCCTAGCAACCACCCTGGGT